GAAAAAAAAAAAAAAAAATTCCTCTTTCTCCACTTCCACAAAGATTGGAATAATAAGAATCAGCCCTAAGGTGAGTCAGATTCCCCAAATTTGTATGGATATTGGTGGTCAGTTCCTCTCAAACGACCGGGTTTCAATAACTTTAATTCAGTGTTCCTTAGGAAAGCTAGTTGTCACTTACCTTTCCTATTCTTTTCAAGTGCTGTGGTTATTCACAAGACAAAGTGGACCAGAAAGAGGACAGATCTGGATATCTACTCTGAAGAAAGTATAAGCAATTATTTCCCTATCAGTCTATCATCAGTAGGCACTTCCCATACATTATCTGTGCTTGGAAATTGCAACAAGGCTGTAAGAAAGGTATGAGTATCCATACTTGATAGAAGCAGCAGCTAAGGTGCGCTGAGTTTACTCGGGTAGGCCTAGGAGAAAGAGCTGGGTGGAGTCAGAGGCAGGATTCAAACCTGCCTGTTCCCAAAGGCCAGGGTCTTTCCACAGTGCCATTCGTGCTGCCCCTATGATGACACACATCAAAGGACCTGACTCAGTCTTTTATATAATGTGGTGACCACATGTAATTGCATAATGTTAGAATAATGCAAGAATTAAACCAACCAGCATGGTGTTCACTTGGAAGAACAGTATATTTTATACCCACATCCTCTTAGATGTCTAATATTGATAGATATCTCAAACTTACCATGTTCTAAACTGAAACTTTGCTCTTCCCACCCACCCCTTTCCCCAGAGACAGCCTTCTCTGTCTCTGTTGATGGCAACTCCATTCTTTATTTCCTGGGCCCTTTATCTCATACCCCACATCCAAACCATCAGCCAGTCATGTAGTCTCTACTTTCCAAATATATCTAGAATTTGACCGCCTCTCACCACTTCCACTACTATCCCAAGAGACCCCATAAGCTCTTGCCTCTCAATGGCTGTAACCTCCCAACAGGTCTCCCGACTTGGCCCTCAACCTCTTCCATAGTCTCTTCTCAGCTCAGCAGTCAGAGTGATTCATTTAATGATCTTTATTCCACGGAGTAAATGACCTACAGGGCCCTTGTTGTCTCTTTGACCTTGGCTGTCACTCCCCTCCGTTCACTGTGCTTAAGCTCCACTAGTTTCCTTGCTGTTTCTCAAACACACCAAGTATCTTCCCTCCTTAGAGCCCTTTCTCCATGAGCTTACACTTACATAACACTGTGCTCCTGATGCTGTCCAAAGGGCGGGACATATGCTAACTAACTCCCCTAACAATCCCACAAGGTAGGTGCTACTCTTACCATCTCTTTTGAAAGATGGGGAAATTGAGGGGTGAGGAGGAAGGAGCATAATGAGAGTCCATGCTCTTAATCACAAGCCTATAAAACTGTTGGCTTGCAATCACACACCACCATTTTCAATCCCTGGTTTTCTGAGCTCTTTATCTTTTTCATCCATCAGAAGTTGGATTTGTACATGTCTTTTTAGATGTGAATTTGCACACATTTGCTGTGCAATCCAACAACATTTTCCCTCTCATTTGGGTACAGAGCCTTTGTTTAGTCATTCTGCTATTTTTACTTTGCACAACGAAGACATTCACCAGCTTCTACTTATTTTTCCTGCTTGGTACACCATATTGGTTTAGTTCGGGAACTTTATAATCCCTTCCTAAGCATAGCTGGTTCTCTTCTCCTTTATGATCATCACCAGCCCTTCATTAATCAATAGGGGGATTAATACATAAGGAAATATAGAAGTATAACAACTTCTAGAGACCACGGATTCTCTTTACGTGTGCTATGAATTACCCAAGAGATGAAGTAAGAGCAGACATCTGCTATTAGCAGTTGGCTTAGAGGAATGAGAACTTCCAGTTTTTCTATGAGTGAAAAAGTGCCAGAACCTATGGATAAAGGTGTTTATTGCAGATAGACTTTGAGGATAAAGGGAATGAGAGTAGGGATGAGGAAGGGGGTGAATTTAAATAGAAGGATTGAAGAGGGGGAAATGTGACAAGAAAGAGGTGAGCAGAATCTTAAGGGTGGGGATGAGTGCTGAGCATAAATTTAAGAAAATCTCCTGCAAATCTTTAGTATTAGCCATCCAAATTCCAAATACATCAACCCAACAGATTGTTATCAATTTTTCACCAGGCTTTCTTTTCTACCTGTCAGAATGAACCTAATGCCTGTGAAAAAACTTCAGTAATCTGGAAAAGTATAGTATCAATGTTGTAGGTTTTTATTAATATTTTCTCTTTTATACGCTTTAACATATTTTTTTTCTCCTGTTCATCTTTGTGTTTATAGTCACCAGAAGTAAAAACACAGGCTAATTAGTAATGATTAGCACCTGGTAGCTCCCATTTACTGAATTCATCCCGTATTCTAGGCATCCTGCTTGGTTGTTTATGTACAACCTCATTGAATCCTCATGAAAGCCTTAAGAGGTGGAACTGTTATTCCCATTTTATGGAAGGAAACTGAGGCTCAGAGATGCTAAGGGATTAAAATGTAGGCTCCATGAAAACGATGGTTTTTGTCTTTTTTTGTTGTTGTTCTTTTAAAAAAAAATTGCCCTCTCTCCAGCACCCAGAACCGTGCCTGACACACAGTAGGCAGAAATATATTTTGAATGTTAAATGAACTTGCTTACATATCTGTAAGTACCAAATCAAGATTCAAAATCAGATTTGTCCACTCCAAAGTCTGCATTCCTGATCATCTGCTACAGTGCTGCTGGGACATTTGGGTCTTAAATGTGACTTGTTGAGATTACGGAGGCTTATGTCAATATTTAAACGGGCAGGTCTTCCCTGGTGGCACAGTGGTTAAGAATCCGCCTGCCAATGCAGGGGACACTGGTTCAAGCCCTGGTCCAGGAAGATCCCACATGCCGCGGAGCAATTAAGCCCGTGTGCCACAACTACTGAGCCTGTGCTCTGGAGCCCCGGAGCCACAACTACTGAAGCCCGCTCACCTAGAACCCATGCCCCACAACAAGAGAAGCCACCGCAACAAGAAGCCCCCGCACTGAAACGAAGAGTAGCCCCCGCTCACCGCAATTAGAGAAAGCCCACGTGCAGCAACGAAGACCCAACACAGCCAAAAATAAATTAATTAATTAAAACAAAAATATTTAAACGGGCAGCCTGAGATAGGATGTTTTGTCCCGTTGTTCCTGTTGTGAGCACACCCTTTTATATAAATTCCTGAATACACTTTTTCCCTCAAATAAAAACATCATTGCTATTTTTTTATTGTAAAAATTACATGAGCTCATTGAGAAATTTGAATGATACAAAATATATATATAAAAATCTGGACAAGGATTAGCATGAGGCAAGTGAGGTACTTGCCTTGGGTGCAAAATTTAAGGGGGAGGCAAAAACTCAGCAATCAGAATAAGCAACATTTTAATTCACTATTGTAAGAAATTAAAATTAATGCAAAAAAATCCACGATGAACAAAGTATCAAAATTTTAAATAAAGACAAGATCAGTGGGCTGGGACGAAGGTGTGGCAAGTAAGGCACTCACTCGGCACTCACTCTCAGGGTCATACAAGTACAGAAGCAGATCCATGGTTCGGATTTCATGAGGTTTGCTTTGCTTATCACTAGAAGTAAAGGTTGATTACAAAAATTTTTTAAATCCTAATTAGAACGAGGGGGAAAAAATCTAGAAATGCTTACTAACCAATTCAGCTGTGAGGTCATGGTTTTCTGCATGTGTTCTATAGTTTGAAAGTATCCGATATTGAGAAAAGATTCAAGAAATGGGAAGCCTGATTTTTTTTAAATGTCTACTGGGGAGGTCCATTTGCTCTCAAGTTTTCAGTTCCACAGAACCAATCCTTTCAAATCGGTGGAATCTCCAAGAGATCTGCATTTTGAGCAAGACGAGATCGTGAAAATAAAACCAGAACACTTTCCAGTCTCCTGTTTGTGAAGTTTATGTTTAATCAATGTTGAACGTGCCTATCTTTGTGCTCAGCTTCATATGAGAAGGAATTGAAAATTGGCACAATCGGGCTTCCCCGGTGGCGCAGTGGTTGAGAGTCCGCCTGCAGAGGCAGAGGACACGGGTTCGTGCCCCGGTCCGGGAAGATCCCACATGCCGCGGAGCGGCTGGGCCCGAGAGCCATGGCCGCTGAGCCTACGCGTCCGGAGCCTGTGCTCTGCAACGGGAGAGGCCACAACAGTGAGAGCCCCGCGTACCACAAAAACAAAACAAAACCTGGCACAATCCTTCAGACAAAAGAACTTGAAGTTGCTTGTTTAACGAGTTAGTAATGAGAAAAGGGCTTGTTGCAGATGGTAATTTTATATACAATCACTATTTTAACACAACATTATTTTCGTATATTAGAAATTCTGTTAAACTCTTTTGCTTGGGCAGGAAAAATTTATGAACCGCGGCATGAAAATCTACCACAAGTCTACTTTTTCATCCCAAATGAAGAATCGTTCACACCTGGGCCAAATAGGAATCTTCACTGACACAGGTGGTACCTCAACTGAAAAACTGGGGCTAGATCCCACTCTTATTCTCAGATTAACAGAAGGTAAGGCTAAATTACTGTTTGATTAAGAATATTGTTTTGAATATTTACTGTTAATGTTAGGTTTGGGGGCTTTTCTGGAGGTGAGAAAAACAAAGTATGCAGTCTCATAATATGGTAGGGGGTCTTTGTAAACGGGGGTTGAGAGTTGGGAGAAAATCTGTTTTAAATAAGAAAACATACCTTTTCCAAGAAATAGACTTGGGCTTTCCTGGTGGTCCAGTGGTTAAGACTCCATGCTTTCACTGCAGGGGGCGCGGGTTCCATCCCTGTCAGGGAAGTTCAGCGGCTGCGAAAAGAAATAGACTGTGACTCATTTTCGTGGCTCTAAGGAAGAAGGTCATGGCCAGAATGACACAGCATTAGAGCTCTTAGCTCTGGCCTTTTACACTCAGTTCTACCTTTTACACTCATCTCATTTCAGATGTTGAAATACAGAAACTTTCTAAAGTGGAGCCTTGACTGTTCAGGCCGTGAAACTCTTATGTCCAGAATCGGGAAGCTCATAGAATTAAGCAAGTTTGCCTGTTGTTGAAAAAAACATAACCTGTTTTAATGTTCTTTGAAGGCAACCTGTTAAAATAGTACAAGCTATTCATTATTGCTCTATGAATGAGGGCAATCTGGTCATCAAAATGTCATGGGCGTTTCTTTTCTTTCTTTTTTTTTTTTTTTTATTCGGTACGCGGGCCTCTCACTGTTGTGGCCTCTCCCGTTGCGGAGCACAGGCTCTGGACGCGCAGCCCCAGCGGCCATGGCTCTCGGGCCCAGCCGCTCCGCGGCATGTGGGATCTTCCCGGACTGGGGCACGAACCCATGTACCCTGCATCGGCAGGCGGGCTCTCAACCACTGCGCCACCAGGGAAGCCCTCATGGGCGTTTCTTACTCATCAGATCAAGAAGTGTCTATAAATGAGATTGCTAGCAGTTTGAAGCTAATGAGGTTAAAGTGGTTAATGGTACGATGATGGAGTCATAAAATATTCCCCCAAATGTGTCTTGTCCAAATTTTTAAATTGAAAATTAAAAGGAAGGAAGGATGAACACACCCTATGGAGTGCCCAGCATTTGCTGTGGTAACTAAAAAAAAAATTTCTTTGGCTCCCAAAATCCATGTACTTTCCCAAATTGTGGAAAAAAAAATTTTTTTTCAGAGAACAAGAAAATCACTTAGGAAAGGACTTCGAATTCAATGATTAATGTAGAAGAAGGAAGCCATGTTAACTTATTTAGAAGCTCTTGGAGGTGTATATTCTGCACTGTAATTGTATGAAAAAGAGGCAAATGCTGGGCAACACGTTGATACCAGTGACTATACCTTTCTGCCACTTGTTAGCTGTGCAGTCTTGGGCAAGCATCTTGACATCTCTGAGCTTCAGGACCTCACATACAGGATGGGGATAGTAATAAGAACCTTACTGGGGTTATTAATAGAATTAAATTATATATTTTAGAAGTCTAGTGAAGTTCCTGGAATATGGGCATAAAATAAATGGTAGCTAATATTATTAAAGTAATTTTTCAGTGGTTAGGAAAAGGTTTACCTGAAGGTATTTTTTTTAAGTCAGATACATACTGTATGCAACAATTTAATTACATACCTTTTATTTTATACAACATCTTTGAGGGATAATGAATCAAACCTAAGTCTATTTCAATTTTCTTTAAAGGTGCAGACACAAAAAGGACTGTCCATGAATTTATTAATGACCAGAGAGACAGATCTATGCTCGAGGTAGTTAAAATAATTTCTTTCTCCCATTAGCCGAATAGAAGACTTCCTGCATATACCTGCCAAATTTTCACCTGGACATTTTATTTTTCCATTTCATGCCCCAGATACATTGCCTTTCCTACCTTGAAGATCTAGCCTCTTCTAAACTCACTTCATTCGGGGCTTTTGTTCTCATCATTCCACCAACACCACTTCTATTGCCAAATTCAAATGGTCATTTCACAGTCTTCCTTCTACTTACTTCCAGTAGGTATTGGCTCAGGTGATCACCCTCCCTTGAAACACTTTCTTCAGCTGATTTCCGGGCCTCTCTATGTCTTGGTTCTTCCACGGCACTGGCAGCTCACTCCCTCATAATTTTCTTGTTCCTCTTCACCCTGATCTCCAAATGCTGGAATGCCCAGGGCTCACACCTCACCCCATGCTCTATCTACCCTCCTCCAGGCTGGAGGCTTTAAATTCTACTGCCCTGTTAACAGCTTCCAAGTTTACTTCTCTAGCCTGATCTTCTTTCCTAAACTCCAGACTCACAAATGCAACTCCAGACTCAACAACTGTAATCATAGTTCTTAACATCTCACTTAGATGCTCCGTAGGCATCTCAAACTTCGCATTGCCAAAGCTGCCCCTGCTATACCCTTCCTGCCCCTGCAGATCGGAATCTCAGGCAGTGCTCCCTATCTCTGTAAACAGCAATTCCATTTTTCCAGTTGTTTATGCCCAAAATATTGGAGTTATCCTCAACTCCTCCTTCTTACAGCCCACACCCAAATATCCTTTGGAATATATTTTTTTCCAACTATATCTGTAATCATGCTACTTTTCATGACCTCCTCTGCTGCCACTGTAGTCCGTGTTGCCAGTAGCTCTCGCATGAATTACTGTTAGACCTTCTGAACACGGGTCTCCTGCTCGCACGTTTGCTCTCTGAACTCAGCCTGTCCTCCACACCTGCCCCTCCTTTACTGAAGACCTCTGATGACTTTTCTGGTCCCCAGCTCACTCACTCTCTGACCTCATTCCTACCACTCTCTACTCTGTCACTCTGCTCCATCCACACTGGCCTCCTTGCTGTTCCTGGGACACACCAATCATGCTCTTGCCTCAGGACTTTTGCACAGGAGGCTTTTCCTTCTGGGAGGAACACTTCTCCCTCAGATATCTGCATGATTTGCATCCTACTTCCTTCCAGTTTTTGTTTAATTTTCACCATATCAGTGAGGCTTTCCTGGGCTAACCCCCTGCCCTTGCCCACTGGTTCACTTGTTCTCCTTTAATCGACACCCTTGCTCTACTAGAATGAATACTTCGTAAAAGCAATGCTGTTTATTTTAGTCACTGCTCTATCAGTACCACTTAAAACAGACCTAGGGGGCTTCCCTGGTGGCTCAGTGGTTGAGAGTCCGCCTGCCGATGCAGGGTACACGGGTTCGTGCCCCGGTCCAGGAAGACCCCACATGCCGTGGAGCGGCTGGGCCCATGAGCCATGGGCCCTGAGCCTGCGTATCCAGAGCCTGCACTCCACAACGGGAGAGGCCACAATGGTGAGAGGCCCGCGAAAAAAAAAACCGCAAAAAAAAAAACCAAAAAAAACCAAAAAACAGACCTGGCACACACTAGGCACTCAGTAACTACTTGGCAAACAAAGTAATAAATGAAATATTTTGGGGTTGTAAACTTGGAGTATCTAACTTTTGGTTGTTGTTTCTTTAAAGTTATCTCATTTCCATATTCTAATCCATTTATATTATAATATGTGTGACTTTGTTTATACTTTATTTTTCATGCATGGCATTAAAAACCCAAGTGGATTCTTATATTATGTACTAAAAAAAAAAAAAAAAGCAGCTAGCTATCAAAGTTGTATTTGGGGATCTAAACAGGATGCTCTGAGGCTGGTTAAACACCCCCACACCTACTCCCTACTCCCTTGGAGGAATCACTGGAACCTTACTCTCCCGTGGTACTTTCTACAGGAAAGCTTTTGTGGCTACAGACAGCCCAATTTCCCAAGGCCCGGAAAGTATTGGAGGGACACTGAATAATACTAAGTAGACTTGCTCTTTGGAGGGATATGAACCCCCCCCCCTTTTTTTAGGATAGAGCCTGAGGGGATACGTAGCTATTTTGATCTGCAGAACCATTTTGGAACATTGAACCTCTTTATAAAAGTGAAAAAAAGGCATGAGTCTCCGTTCTAACTATCCTGAAAATAAAATCCCTACATGCAATGAAGGCTGTAGCCCCAAGATTGGGCATACTGTTATTTCTAATACAAGTGATCACAGACCAGGCCAGTTATTTTTCCCTTTGTTGTGAGACCATTGAAATGTGCTAGAAATGTGGAATCATGTTCTTGATGCACTTTTGTTTTCAATATTCCTAGTATGCTCTGTCAACCAAAAGAAACACAATTCAAAAGTTTGAAAAACACGTAACAATGAAGGAAAGACAACTCATGAAAGCAGAAAAAAAGCTCAAAGAAGACGCAGTGGCCTTTGAAGAGTTCCTTCGAGAAAACGACCAGAGATCTGTGGATGCTCTTAAAATGTTCGTTTTTTCACTCTGGCCAGATCGCCTTTTTCCCTCCTTCTTTCTTCTTTTTAGTTTCTCAGATCACAGCCCAATACAAAGCAAACTAACAAATCTGTTTCTTTTCAGTGCAGCGCAAGAAACTATAAACAAACTCCAAATGACAGCAGAGCTGAAGAAGGCGAGTATGGAGATACAGTTGATGAAAAGGTGAAGCCGGGCACCGTCTTCTCCTCATCAAGTGTCCTTGCCCCACTGAAACCTACTTGTGCCTGGCAAGACCTCAGTGGGACTAATCCTGATCAGTTGATGATTTCATAAATATTATCACATTTTAAAAATAAATAATCTGTCGATCAAGGATTATCTCTACCTGGGTGCCAGGACACAGTGACCTCTGGCTGAAACATTTCTCTAACTTGTCGTTACAGAAACCAAGAAATTAGTTGAAAAGAAGTAAACCAATGTCAGGAGTAAACAATAAATTATTTTCTAAGTGTCCTTTTATCTTCTTTCTAAGGCACTGTCCTTCCCCCATTTTAACATCTCTGAAATTGGGGTGCTTTTATATTTTTACAGTCATCTTACAATTAGAATTGGGAGTATTTTTTATATTTATACTTACACTTAGTTGAAACTAACTTGGTTGATATTAAAAACTGGATTTATGTACCAATTTTTCTTAAGTCAATCTCCCAAGGCAGTAGAAATAAAAGCAAAAAATAAACTAATTGGACATAGGCAAACTTACAAGCTTTTGTACAGCCAAAGGAAACAATAGACAAGACGAAAAGACAGCCTACAGACTGGGAGAAACTATTTGCAAAAGATGCAACCAACAAGGGCTAAATTTCCAAAAAATACAAACAGCTCGAATAAGACAATAACAAAAAAACAACCCAATCGAAAAATGGGCTGAAGATCTAAAGAGACATTTCTCCAAAGAAGACATACAGATGGGGACTTCCCTGGCGGTCCAGTGGTTAAGACTCTGCGTTCCCAATGCAGGGGGCATGGGTTCGATCCCTGGTTGGGGAGCTAAGATCCCACATGCTGCATGGCGCAGCCTAAAAACAAAACAAAACAAAAAAAAGACATACAGATGGCCAACAGGCATATGAAAAGATGCTCAACATCTCTAATTCTTAGAGAAATGCAAATCAAAACTACAGTGAGGTACCACCTCACAATGGTCATAATGGCCATCATTAAAAAGTCTACAAGTAGGGCTTCCCTGGTGGCACAGTGGTTGAGAGTCTGCCTGCCAATGCAGGGGACATGGGTTCGCGCCCCGGTCCAGGAAGACCCCACATGCAGCAGAGCAGCTAGGCCTGTGAGCCATGGCCGCTGAGCCTGCGCATCCGGAGCCTGTGCTCCGCAACGGGAGAGGCCACAACAGTGAGAGGCCTGTGTACCACAAAAAAAAAAAAAAAAAAAAGAGGATGAGGAGAAAAAGGAACTCTCCAACACAGTTGATAGGAAGGTAAATTGGTGTAGCCACAATGGAAAACAGTATGGAGATTCCTCAAAAAGCTAAAAATAGAGTTACCATATGATACAGCAATCCTACTCCTGGGCACAAGTCCAGAGAAAACCATAATTCGAAAAGATACACACACCCCAATGTTCATTGTGGTACTATTGTCAGTAGCCAAGACATGGCAACAACCTAAATGTCCAGAGGAATGGATAAAGAAGCTGTGGTACATATACACAATGGAATACCACTCAGCCATAAAAAGGAATGAAATGCCATTTGCAGCAGCATGGATGGACCTAGAGATTATCATACTAAGTGGAGTAAGTCAGAAAGAGAAAGACAAATACCATATATCACTTATATGTGGAATCTAAAATATGACATGAATGAACTTATCTACAAAACAGAAACAGACTAACAGACACAGAGAACAGACCTGTGGTTGCCAAGGGGGAGGCGGGTGGAGAAGGGAAGGATTGGGAGTTTGGGATTAGCAGATGCAAACTATTATATAGAGAATGTATAAACAACAAGGTCCTACTGTATAGCACAGGGAACTATATTCAATATCCTGTGATAAGCCGTAATGGAAAAGAATATGAAAAAGAATGTATCTGTATATATATAATCAAATCACTTTGCTGTACAGTAGAAATTAACAAATTTTAAACTATACTTCAATAAAATAAAATTTTTCAAAAAAGAGTAAAAAACTGGGATTTATAATGACAAAAATTACAGGAGCAGGAGTTGGGATAAAATTATTCGAATACCAGCTACTCTTGTTAAAACCCAGATATTTTCTTCTATGGTCAAGTGGATGTCAACTTGGTCTAATTTTAAATATCTCAAGAAGCTTCCTTCTGTCACATCCTTAAACAGAAATTTCACGATCCAGGAGACACTTGGTATCGAGTCATGCTAAAATTTGTTTTTTCTTTTTGAGGACTCAGTGTTTCTCTCTTTTCTAAAACTCAGTGTTTCTCTCTTTTCTAAAACTAAGTCCTAGACTTACATCCCAGACTTTTTGGGGAGGAAGACAATAGCTTGTCTGAAACACAGCAAATGAACTGGATGACAGTTTCTTGGAAACTATTGCTACTAACAAAATGTGTGTTTCAAACGCATTCTGGCTTCAGCAGCCTCTTTCGTCAGGAGCCTAAGGTTGAAAGTGCTCCAAGATGAAGAATCCTGTCCTACCTTCCTTCCCTCCATGATGTAATTAGAAGATTCTCTTTATAGAAATAGAGTACCAGCCTCTATGTTTGCATAAAGTACAGTAATTATACACAATTGCCACCCAGTTAAACCTTCCAAACAGCCTGGCCATAGAGAACTTGCTTGTCATTTATGTGTCTTGTCACCCTAAAAAGGTGCAAAAGGTCATGAAAAACAGGCTGCTAACAGAGCAAAGGGATGCAAGCATCTGCTATTTATTTCCTCTTCTCTTTTTGGGCTCAGGATGACCCACAGAGGTCTTCTGCTGAAGGGAGGGCTGGACATCTGTTTGCACAGAGAAAGGGAGCTTACTCTGAAGCTTCTGCTTGGAAGCTGTGCAGTTCTAGCCATTTTAATCCTGTTCTTTGTAGAACATCAGAGAGGCTTTCAGTCTAAAAATACTGTGGTGGTAGAATGAGGGGTTCCCAACATCTTTTGACGGCTGATACATGAGCCCGCCATTTATTGACTCTTCAGTATCACTCCCAGCAGGGCTTAAGGGAGGTTCTGAGCAAAAGAAGGACTGAGGCTGAAGACAGAGGAGTAATATTGATAAGGGTATTGACAAGGGTATGGATAAGGCAGGCTCTGAAGGATAAGAGTGGAGCTCCCTTTCACAAGGACCTTCATTGTTATTTTCAACATTCCTTCTGGGTCCATTTTGTAACATGATTTTCTGGGAAAGCAATGCAAGGCTGGGGGAAGGCTTTCTGTCCAAGTCACCGGGTATTGTTGAGATTGTGAGCATCTGAGTCAGACAGACCCAGGTTTGTGTGCTGACTTTGCTCATTTACCACACAGATGACTTTGCAAGTCATTTCTTTCTTTTTCCAAAAGATAGGAATAACAATATGTATTATTATTATTATCATCAGTATTATCCTGTACTGAGGATGAAATCATACATGCAATGTGCCCTGCACATTACCTGATACATAGATGCTCGCTGAGTGTTAGTTTCCCTCCTTCTTCTTACATAAGTGCCATCTTTTGCTGTCTTCTAATTTCTCCCTATGTCTGAAACTTAATACAAGACTTCCCTCAGAAATAAGGAGAGTAAATCTATTGTTACCAAGCAAGGGTTCACTGCCTGATGCACATAGCACCCAATACTATGGCACGGGCTTTTGAGTAATGAAAGAGCTTTACTGCGAGGTTGACTGACAAGGAGGCAGGAGGCAGGGCTAAAATCTGTCTCCCTGATCCAGGGTTTGGGGCGAAATGTGAGGGGTTGGGGGAATAAGCTGATTGGCTAGTCTGAAGTCAGTCCACGTAAGCTACTCGAGCTGCTAGAAGCCAGATTTTCCTCATTTAAGGACTCTTCTCTTTGTAAAGGGCTCTGGTGGCAACATTTCTGTTCTCTAAGTTCGTAGACTGAAGATTCTTTGTTCTGGGGTCATCCTGGAGACATGGCTTCCTGTCTAGCACATGCACAGTGCCGGCTTTAAAATAACTCAAAGTTTGATGAATCAACAACCTATTTGAGGCAAACCAGTTTAAGTTGGTCAGTGTTGTTGTTGTTGTTTTTAAATATTTATTTATTTATTTTTGGCTGCGTTGGGTCTTTGCTGCTGTGCGCGTGGCTTTCTCCAGTTGGGTTGAGCGGGGGCTACTCTTCGTTGCAGTGCGCGGGCTTCTCATTGTGGCTCTTGTGGCGGAGCATGGGCTCTAGGTGGGTGGGCTTCAGCAGTTGTGGCACGTGGGCTCAGTAGTTGTGGCTCACGGGCTCTAGAGCGCAGGCTCAGTAGTTGTGGTGCACGGGCTTAGTTGCTCCGCGGCATGTGGGATCTTCCCGGACCAGGGCTCGAACCCGTGTCCCCTGCATCGGCAGGCGGGTTCTTAACCACTGCGTCACCAGGGAAGCCCCTGGTCAATGTTTTACATGCTGTTTCAGTTTCCTTTTTCTTTGTACATCTCCTCAG